TATATATATATATATGGTGGTGGGCTGCCTGGACCAAAAAATGCCTGGGCCGATTTTTTGTCCCAGTCCAGCCCAAATGACCTATTCCTTTAATCTGTCTCTTCAGTGCAATGATGGAAAAGACACAGGAAGAGCAGCAGTCGTCCCCACAGATGGCGGCACCTGATGGGGGTTGGGGCTGGGTGGTGGTGGGGTCTCTTTTCATGTCTTCTGCCCTGGTGTTTGGGCTCATCCGCAGTCTGGGCGTCTTTTTTGTGGAGTTTGTGCAGTACTTTGGTGAGAGTGCCCAGGCGGTGTCCTGGATAGCATCCATTGGCTTGGCCATGCAACAGCTAATGAGTAAGTTTACTCATTCATTTGTTCTTGTCTATATCAACAAACACAATATAGTAAAACACACTTTGGCTTTCAGCATTCAGTTGATTATATATGCTTGCCTGCAGGTCCAATAGGTGCAGCCGCATCTAATGTGTATGGAACTCGTCCAGTAGTTATGATGGGAGGATTCCTTTCAGGCCTGGGATTCATTCTGGCTTCCCAGGCAACGTCTCTTGTACATCTTTACCTGACCATGGGATTAATTTCAGGTAGATGCTCTTGTAAAGAGTGTCTTTAATACTAACCAATGTCAGGATCCTGATTCGTGTTTTTACTCTCTATGTTTATGTCTGTCAGGTTTAGGCTGGGCGCTGGTCTTCACCCCTACAGTTGCATCAGTAATGCAGTACTTTACCGTGCGGAGATCTCTAGCCATGGGCCTGGGCTTCACAGGTGTCGGTCTTGCCTCTTTCGCCTTCTCCCCACTTTTTCAGTATCTAGTAGAGGTCTATGCTTGGCGTGGAGCTTTGCTTGTCCTCGGAGGCCTCAGCTTCAACATGATTGCTTGTGGAGCTCTCATTCGGCCTCTAGGGAAACCAAAGGTTGTGTTGAAGGTATGTGTTTTTATATTACTGAATAAATGAATGACATTTTCTACACATACATACCATTTAGAAGTTAGTCAGTAAGATTTTTTTAAATAGAAAATAATACTTTTATTCAGCATGGGTGCATTCAATTGATCATAAGTGACCAGAAATGACATTTATAATGTTACAAAAGATTTCTATTTCAAATAAATGCTGTTCTGAACTTACAGTTCATCAAAGAATTCTGAAAAAAATATTTCCACAAAAATATTAAGCAGAACAACTGTTTAACAACTAGGATGCAGAATTTTGCGATGGAAAAAAGTGACAGCAAAAAAAATGATAATGTTACAAAATATTTCTCTTTCACATAAATCTTTCTATTCATCAAAGAATGCTTAAAACATGGTTTGCACAAAAATATTAGCCAGCACAACTGAAAATTCAATTTTGCCATCACAGGAATTAATTACATTTTAAAATTGATTTAAATAGTAAAATGTTATATTTAATTATTATAACAGTTCACAATGTCACTGATTTGGCTGTATTTTTAATAAAAAAAATGCAGCCTTCATGAGCATAAGAGACTTCTTTCAAAAACATAAAAAAATCTTATGGACCACAAACATTTCAATGGTGGAGTATATATTTTCTTTTTTAATAATTAATTTATTTAACAATTAGTGATTAATAAATATTATAATTATGCAATTAAATATATTTTTAATAAAAAAAAATGTTTTATAGTGATTGTTCTGCAGTTTAACATGTTTGAGGCTTAATTACTCAATTGGCTTGTTTCTTTTTGTGCCCTTCTCAGACTGAAAACTTGACCAAGCTCAACAAATGTTCTTCTTTATTGTCCCGTATCTTCGAGAGCTTTGAGCTCTCCCTGCTTTCACACAGAGGCTTCCTCACTTATGCCGTGGCCATCACCTTCTTCAATGCCGGCTACTTCATCCCTTACATTCATCTGGTCGCCCACAGCCGTCACATTGGTTTCACTGAGTACCAGGCAGCCTTTGTAATCTCTGTAACCGGTGTGGTAGACATCATGGGTCGCGTAGCCTCCGGCTGGTTCTCAGATTTGGGTAAAATACGGATGCCGCACATGCTGGTGGTGTGGACTGGGTTACTGGGGCTCTCACTGATGATCATTCCTGTTGCTGTGGTTTACTCAGGACTTATTGTTATTAGTGTGGTCTATGGGTTTTGCGCAGGAGCGATGACACCGCTGGCCTTCGCGGTGGTACCTGAGATCGTAGGCATAGGCCGAGTGCTGGGAGCCCTTGGCCTGCTGCAGCTCATAGAGAGTGTTGGAGGGCTGCTGGGAGCACCACTGTCTGGTAGGAGCTCATGAGATCATCACAGTAGTTTTATTTAAAGGAAAAGTTCACCCAAAAATGAAAATTTGCTGAAAATGTAATCACCCTCAGGCCATCCAATATGTACATGATTTTGTTTCTTCATCAGAACAGATTTGGAGAAGTTTAACATTACATCATTTACTCACCAATGAATCCTCTGCAGTGAATGGGTGCCGTCAGAATGAGAGTCCAAACAGCTGATAAAAACATCACAATAATCCACACGAATCCAGATGTCTTGTGAAGTGAAAAGCTGTGTGTTTGTATGAAACAAACTGTTGCTTCCGGCTAAAATATGAGTCCTCTATCCATAATATTGCTTTCTCCAGTGAAAAAATCATCTTGTTTGAATCAGGAGAGAAATATGCACAGATCAAGCACTGTTACAAGCAAAAACAGTTCTAAACAAATATGTTGGTGGATTTTGATGCGAGTGGACAACAAGGGATGACATTTCTGGAGGAAGCGTTGTAATGGATTTTGGACTCATATTTTAGCCAGAAACGACGCTTTAATGTTAAAATGCCTTAAAGATGGATTTGTTACGAACACACAGCTTTTCACTTCACAAGGTGTTAACTGATGGACTGGAGTGGTGTGGATTACTTGTGGATCATTGTGATGTTTTATCAGCTGTTTGAACTCGCATTTTGACGGCACCCATTCACTGCAGACGATCCATTGGTGAGCAAGTGATATAATGCTAAATTCCTCCAAATCTTTTCCCATGAAGAACAAACTCATCTACATCTTGCATGGCCTCAGGATGAGTACATTTTCTGCAAATATTCATTTTTGGTGGAACTATTCCTTTAAAAGGCCGACATTCAATTGATTCAGATCTTTAGGTTCACAATCAGCAATTAAATTATTGTTCCATCTCCATTTTTTCCTCCCAGGCTGGCTGAAGGACTGTACTGGGACATACACATTATCTTTTATTGCTGCTGGAAGTTTCCTAGTGTTAGGTATGTTAGTTACAATGACTCTTCCCTATTTCTGGTCTTGTACGGCCCCTCCACCCCCATCACCTTCAAAGAGGATGTCTCAGGATGGCTCCATTGAAGATGGACTACTCAAACAAACTCTATCCTCAAATTCTGTACCTGAGAGCCTGTGCCCTTTGGATGATACACCCTACTCGGATAAGGAGTTAAAGGTCTGTTGGAAGAGTGATGTTACATGTCCAGTGCAAGAACGAGATGAAATACCACAGGAAATGATGCACCATACTAATTCAGGGGAAATATTATGATTGTGTGATGTTAGAAAATAATTAGTGGTGGTCATAGTAGTAGTTTTTTAGAAGGATATAGACGAGATATAGGCAACTATTGGCACTGGAATCACAAATCATGTTGCACTTTTGGTTTTATACCGCATTTTGCAGTAAAGGTTTTAGTGGGTAATTTCATAAGAATAAGTTCAATCCGATGGAAATTCTCAGGTTTTGAGAGAGTTTGAAAAGCAACAGTAGGTTTACAGCTCAAATTTCCAGTTAGCCTACCTTGTGTAACGTTCAAAACAAATGTGGATTATTTAATCATTCCTTATATAAATGCAAGTAGACACACGTTTTTGGACATGCACCATGAAATTAGTGCAATTCAAAAGTTGTGTAGTAGGCCAATAGCAGCATAAATCTTTATCATGACGTAAATGCAATAACGTAATCAAGTTATCATTTATCAAGACCAGCTTTTCTTTTTGATTACATAATAACGACAATACAGTTGCCAGTCAGAAACCACAGCAGCAGCTATATAGTGTTATTTTAGTATCACTTAATTATAGTTTTTATGAATATTTTGAATTCGTTTTTTATATTTTCAGTATTTGCACCTGGAAAGCTGTCAATTTGTAAATTCTCATTCTAAAAAAGCCATTATTCTGGGCACTGTTCATTTCCAATCTTTATAGTTATACAGATAATTTAAGAGATACTTTAAAAATAGCTCAAGTATTTTTCTGTTCTGAAATCAGTATTTATTTAATCATATATTTCATTTAATTAAATTATTATTACATTTAATTAAATTATTAAATTATTTTTATTTTATATTTACATTTTCAAATATATTGTCAATTCAGAATCACCACCAAATAAGGATTTTTGCTGATATTGTCCAGATACCCCACTTTTGACTTTCTGAATTTATGGAGGGCGCTGTATATCAAATATCATGGTATAATTATCTGACACCAACACTGTACCATGGTATTGCCATATTACTATTTCTGAGTATGCTGGCAAAATACTATTTATTTTTAATTAATTATTTTTATTGTATTAAAATGTTTTCTTGTAAATTATTGTGACATACTTGACCTCTGGGATTCTCTAACAGGAAGCTAATTATGATGCACAAATACAGCTTCAGGGTTTGGTGGAATGACTGATGCTTGTGGTTTTTGTTAATCACAGTTATTCATGTATTCATGGCTAGTAAAACATGAGGGCTGCTAGCAAGAAGTTCCTAGATTCCACACAAGCTTTTAACTGCTTAGTCAGCAGACTCAGCACATGCCTGACATGCTGTCACATCAAGTAAAAGCTAAGATAAAGGCAGTGCATTTTCTATTGCTATTAAGTTTGGTGCTGGAGGCTACTTCAGTATAGTATTCAAAAGCAGGAAGGCAAGCTAAATGCTAACGTTGCAGTGCTAATCCTGTTCTGCTCCTCATGTAGAGCATTATTCCTGAACTTACTGAACCTTAGCTTGATTACAGCTGGACTGTTCTTGAGTTGCATATGGAGGAATATGATCACAAGATGTTCTTTCTGATAGCATTGTCGGAGACATGACATTTTGATGTTGTCCTTTCAGGGTTGAATTGGACCATGTGATTTGTGTATTTCATTGATGCTTTTTAAGTATTGTATGATGGAAATCTTGCACATTGTGAAGGGTTTTCACTGATTTTCAAGCTCCAGGTTTCAAAGTGAATATTGATTTACATTTTCCACAGAGGTCGCTGACAAACAAAATTCACTTGTGAATCATTGACCAAAGTGTCACACACTAAAGTCTTTGTTACACATTACATTCTTCAACACTTTTTTTTGTTTTAAATTTTTACTTTTATTAATGCAAGAGCTTTACTGTGCACAAACTAGTATATAACCTTGTAAATTCTCTACTTCCCTTGGGAAAAACCTTGAATACTAGTCAATAATGCTGTTTTAAAGATGCACTTCTCATAAAACCAAACACGTGAGCCTTAATCTCCATAGACTTGAGAGTCAATGAGCTCAGCTACAGATTTTGCTTTCTCATGTGAGAGGCCCTTATTGCTTTGAGATTGACAGCACTGCCTTTCACACAGTTGTCTTCAAATGCACTGTATTAATGCAATTAAACATGCTCTTTAGCCTATTGACCTCAATGTGCTTGCATAGAATGAGAAGTGAGACTTGGATGAATTTGGATCAGTTTAGTAGTATTCTAAACTATACTGCAGTGCAAGTCTATTAGCTTTGGAGTGCCAAAGCAGGCAATGACTTAACATTTCATCATCTGGTTCTTTGAACTTAGTAGATTTAGAACTACACTGCGCAAGTTGACTTTTGATCTGATTTAAAGGTTGAATGGAATTTGCCATCTGAGCCAGTCGGGTAGTTTTACCTTTTACCAGGTTACCAGCCAATTATGTTGTAATTTTCCAAGAAGTGCACAGCATGGCAAGACGGGTTGTAATAGAACAGTACAGTACAAATCTGTTTTGGTAGACAGATTTGTCTTTTAATGTGGTTACATAAAAGGCTGTTTCTGTTTTTATTGTACTATTGTTTTCTTGCTATATTTTATATATGATATTTTTTATAACTTCTTAGGTTCTAATATTCTAATCTTTTTTTTTTTTTGAAGAATTATGGTATGAAACATAATTTAAACTAAGATATCATGACAGAAGTACAAGTAAGAACATGGAACTGAGCTGGATATATTCAAATTATGTACAGATAACTGATACATTCATGTGTGAAGTCAGAGCCCTGGTCCATTCAAACATTTGGGGTTTGTAAGATTTTTTTAATGTTTTTGAAAGAAGTCTCTTCTGTTCACCAAAGCTAATACTGTGAAATATTATTACAATTACAATTTTTCTATTTTAATATATATGAAAATGTATTTTATTCCTGTGATGGCACAGCTGAATTGTCAGCATCATTACTCTAGTCTTCAGTGTCTCATGATCCTTCAGAAATCATTCTAATATGCCGAGTTGCTGCTTAAGAAATATTTCATATTATTGTCAATGTCGAAAACTGCTTTTGTGGAAACCGTGATATATTGTTTCAGAATTATTTGATTAATAGAAAGTTTAAAAGAATAGCATTTATTTAAAATATAAATATTTTGTAACATCATACAAGTCTTCACTGCCCCTATTTAAACAATTTAATATTGTGGAAAAAAATCTTACAGACCCTGAACTTTTGAATGGTAGTAACAGTAGTTCAAGTGGTAAAGGTTTTACTGCAAAATTCTCAGAAATGCAAGTCACGTAAGTCATGAATCATTTATTTAGCAACACATTATGCCGTTTTCACGGTTATTCATTTCTACATGTTGCTTAAAACATTGCAGCTCACAAAACACATCGATTAACCATTTTCAAACGTGTTTTTTTTGGTCTTGTAAAAAGAAATAAAAATTATAAACAAGAAATAAAATAAAATTATACAGGAGAGCCAAGCAGTGATCTCTCACCCAAAGTAACAAGTATTCAAGTTGCATTAACACTGGCTCACAACGTTGTGAATAAAAAGAAGAAAAGCAACTTGAAAAATGAGGAAAAATCCATTGCCATCTAAATGAGAAACATAGAAGCATCCACTCCACAACTGCAGTCTGGCTTGATGTCTTGCTTTCATACTATTTGGAATGTAAACCTGCTAAAATTATAAATTATTCAGCTACAGGTGGTCAATGAAAAGAACTGACAGGAAACACCAAAATGATTGATGACATCCTAAAGCATAAAGTGGGATAAATATGCTAAAACCCAGAGGTTTAGACCCACACTCGTGTACGGCAGAAAAACCAAATGAAGCAGCATTTCATAAGAGGTGTTTACTGTGTGTGCCGTTTCAGCAAAACAAAGAAAAGCAATAGTAACTTCATTTTGTCTACTGGAGGTTGTGTGTAAGAGTGTGTGTGTGTGTAACATTGACATCTAGTGGTCAGGTGGTTCATTTCATGTCAGCGCTACGGCGCTTAAGCTTCTCTGGATTGTTGGAGGCCATTTGGGAGAAATCCCTGAAAATATCATGATAGGTATCATCACCTGCAGGAGGAAAGAAATACAGAGAGAAAAAATGATTAGCTGAATATTGTCTTGGGAATAAGCAGCACAAATTTAAACAATCTGAAAAACATCAGTTTTTTACATATTTGTTGCATGATTCTCTGTGCACATGATCTCACAGAACATTACATTTTACTTCCAAAACAAACAAGACTGAGTATGTACTACAATCATATACTGTATGAGAGTGTAAATTATATCCCTGTGCATGTGAAATGATCGAAACCTGGAGTCTAAAGAGTTTAACAAGGTCTGAAAAGATGTTTGAATCGGCCTGACGAGAACACCATCACCCAGAGGAAGAGCTTTGATTTGGATTTGGATTTGTAACTGTACATAAGTGCAGCGGTTATGCATACATAAAGGCGTACGGTAGCAGTGGATTACCTGTAGCACGCAGTGCAGAGGACACACACTGCAAGCAGTAGACACCTGGCCACCCGTCTCAGGACATGCACATATACACACACACACACACGCACGCGCGCGCACTCAAACAGCAAAAACAGATTTGTATACAGAGACACAGATGGACAAACTGCCATAAACAAGATGCAAAAAGCAACAGATGCAAAAAGCATAAGCACCACAAGATAGCACACCTGTAAACATCTGGCACTGCAATAAGATTATCAGATTCAGAGTAACAGAGGAAAGCCAAATATTAGATTAAAAGTGATCGCAACAAACGATCACCAGGGACTGAACTTTTGACTTCAATATATTTATGATAGTTAATTGTACACATGTTGGTTGAATTGTGATGATACTCCATACAATGTCAAATATCCATGCCCATCCCATAACAGCTGAATCTTTTGCATTTTCTGAAGGAAATACTAGTGCTTGCAAGGTAGCAGTTTTATGTTTTTTGGTATGATTAGATAAATGATTAGACAATTAGAGGAAGAGACAGAAAGAAAGAAGGAATAAAAGACAGATAGATAGAGATATTTTACAATTTTACAGTGACATTGCAGTCAATTAGACTTCAACACTGTGTTAATGTAAGTCAATGGGAGCTTTTCTAAATCAGGTTATATACAAAAAGTGGGGTCTACAGTACATGTTAAACAGTTCAAGTTGAATTATGTAATTGCAGCAAACTGTAAAGAAAAATTAAAAGAAAAAGAGAAATTTCAACATGCTGATTTCTTGCAAGCACTGTAATGACCGGCTGTGGAGTTATCCTTTATCTTAAAGTTTTAATGCCTGATCAGGTCTCTCTGAACATTAAATAAATCAAATTTAGCTTGTTAATGATTTTTCAATCATCTGAAGCCTATGACAGACAAAGAGAAAACACTCTACATTCCACTTGAGGTGTTTCTAATAGCTGAATGAACACCAGCCATACAAACAAGATCAGATTTGTGTAAATGCAAAATGTCACAGAATATTACTCATGCAAATCCATACTCCGTACAAACAGTACTAACACCACCTAATAAAACATACTATATAACATTTGATCAAAACATGACCACAGGTACTAAAAGCACTGAAATTTGATTAATTTCTTGCTACTGAAACGTAGTGTTATCTATTAACATTCAGAGTTTCTATATGTTTTAAAGTGCTCAAATCCACATACTGTCCTTTCTTTGTTTAAATGATCTGTTAAGCTCAGTTTTCCTCTGTTTTGTCATCTAAATTTACAGTCAGTTAATTCT